AGTAATTTTATAATTTTATATTAAATAATTTCAATAATACTCACTTATAATTATATAAATCTATAGTATTTTAAATAAAAATAATAATAATTATATTATATAAATAGAATATAAATCTTTTTTATTGTATATAAATAATAAAATATTTCTACATATAAAAAATAAACACAATACAATAAAAAAATTAAAAAGATTAATCTACAATTAAAATTAAATAAATCAAAGCCAAAAGACAAAAGGAAGTGCAAATGGAGTTTGGGCTTTCAATGCGGGGTACAACTCGGCGGGTCGAATCAGGCGAGGAGCAGCGGCAAGCGGCAGCACTGGCGGCAACGCAGGCAGCATCAGTGGCAATGCAGCACCGATGGCAAGGCAAAATCAGTGCAACGATGGAGTTCTAGAGATGGAGATTCTGCCATTGCCAGGGAAGACGAACAACTAATTCTAAAATTCTTAATTATCATCCATAATCTCAGAAGAATTTAGTTTCTAAAATCGTTCAAGATCGCACGATCTCACGATCTCGCGATTTTGTGCACGATCTTTGATCGATTCTTCAAGACCCACGATTTTTGTCCGATTCAGATCGTTGAAGCCCCTTAACATCATAAAATCATGCAATCTTAGGATTTAGATTGCGATTTTAACAACCATGGTGACAAGTACTGTATGAACTTAGATAGCATAAGAATTCAAATTGCTTTATTGCTGTGGATGCAAATGAGCATGCTTAATCAGAGCTTAATCTTCCAATTTGTTGTTTGTGGGTAGGGTTGTTAATCTTGTTATGCTTATCATCCCAAATTTCATTTTTACTGTGCTCCCTAAATGTCCTGTTTTAGAACTTAGCTTGTGAATCTCATAAAACTAGTCTTAATAGATAGTTCATTTATATTTCAACCACTATGTTTAGGGCTCGTTTGGTTGATGGAATAAGTATTCCATGGTTAGTATAATTGTAAGGTAAATTAGTTAAAAAGTATAAGAGATTGGGAATACCTATTCCTTACGTACAATAATTTATATTAGCAAGTGATACTTGATAGGGAATAGATAACACCTAATAAAAGTGTTATTAGACATTTCCATCTTATTTCACATGATTAGAAGAAACTGATAGAAGTAAGGAAGTTGTATTCCAAATCCATTTTAATTCTCACTCATCTACCTTATGATTATGCTTTGACCATGGAATACCTATTCCATCCAACCAAACTCTTAGTGCTTCTCCTAGTTATTTGCTGCCTTATTGCACAGTTTTTTTTTTTTTTGGTTATTGAGGAATAGTATTCTCGTAGTTGAGGCAGCATACATTGTGGTTGTGGTTGCTATGGTATTTGAGAATTGCTTCCCTTTTATTTTTCCTTAAATTATATGTTTACAGTAGTAACTAGTAAGAGCAATAAGCAAATTTATGTCCCTGCTTTACTTTTGCAGTCTGTTCTGATTATTGATCCCTTTGCTTGTACAGGAGGAGAGAAGAAGCACAGAAACTTCTAAAGGAGGCCCTTGGAACCTTAGATGGACCGTAACACCCCTTAGCAAAGGCTTTTATTGAATTAGAGACAAGTATTTGAAATACATTGCTTTTAGTTGGGTATTCCGTATGTAAAAGAGGGAACCTAAATTGGTTTTTGCCTGTAGCTACTCTATCTGTTGATTGATTGTATTTGATGGTACTAACCTAGTAAAAAAAATGGATAATTATAAGGAGGTTGACAGTCGTTTAGAGCAATGATCAAACCGAAGATTTTGTCCCTTAATTCAGTAATTTAAACTCATTTTGGTCCCTCAACTTTTTTTGAACTATTTTTTAGTTTCAAACTCTTTTAGAATTCAATTTCAAGTGTGTCAAGGTTTAATATTAAGGATGTTAATATTTAAATTTTTTAGTAATATATTTGGTTTGAGGGAAGAGGAGGGAAAGGGAGGCAAGGGGTGAAAATTTCTTTATTTGATTAACAAAAAATTTGAAAGGGATGGGAGGGGAAGTGAAGCCCTTTACTTTATTTTTAACTTTAATTCATTCATTTATCCAAATGAGTGGAAAGAATTCTTTCATTTACCTCTTCCCTCTTCTTCTCCATTTTTCTCAAACCAAATATAATGTAAGGTTTAGAATTTAGAGTCTTAAGAGTTTAACTTTGAAGCTGTTAAGGTTTAGTATTTAGGGTGTAGAGTTTAAGGTTTAGGATTTGAGCATTGGGGCTTAAATATTTTACGATTTAGAGTTTAAGATTAAAAAATAAAAATTACATGAGTTAAAATTTAAAATGTTTATATCTAAAAGAAAAGAAAAGAAATAAAAACAAAAATGTTATAGGGATCAACAAGCTTGGGACTAATTGGTTTCTATAGCATTATCCTAAAAAATTGTTTTATATATTTATATATATATATATATATATTTGATGATGTGTTATATAATATGAGATAACTCTTCTAATGTGCCTAACTTGTACTTATAAACAAGTTGAAAAACAAACTTTGTCTAACACACCATAGTTAAGAGAGTAAACATTCAATAACATAGTTAATCACTTAATCCTAAGGGTTGCATCCATCACTAATCAAGTGTTGTCTTGAAAATCAAAGTTATAGTTCAAGTTTTGGGTGTAGCATTGAAGAAAATTAATTTCATTAAATGCTCCAAATCCAAATTAATATGGGGAGCGGCTTTAAGATTGCCTAAGAATGAATTAGTCTCAAAGTGCAACAAAACTTACCCAGGCAACAACTCTCATTAAACAATGACCAAACATGCTTGTAACCTTTGGCTTAATAATATGTTTTGGTTTGAGGGGAACATAGGGGAGGGATGAGTTTTTTAATCCATCAAATTATAACATTTTTAAATATTACAATTTGATTAGTCAAAAAATTCATTCCTTCAAACCAAACATATCATAAGAGAGTGCCAAAAATAAATTAGGAAAGAAAAACTTCGATTTTTATTGTGTTTATTTATTTATTGCCATAATGACTTTGATTTTATTAAAAGAAAAAAAATGAAAATTGAGTGTAAAATTAAGATGATGTGAAAAAACCTTCTCAAACAAAGCATAGTCAACACCACAATTATTAGATATTTGTAAAACAAAAGGTTCTCAAACAAAACATAATGCACAACATTTATTTGATATTTATATAATTGTTAGGTGAGTTTATTATTTTGTAATTTGAACTATATCTTATTATAAATTATGAATAGTTAGATGGAGAAGAGAGAGAGCCAGTTAATCATTTAACAACCTCTGTTACGTACTCTAGTATAGTTTGAATTACACTAGCAAATATTTTGTTATTATGTTATGGAAGCGACAAAGTTGGTGAAAGTGAGCAAAGCAAGTAATTCCCTTCCCTTCTGGTCAACAGTGTTAAGGAAAGTCCTAATTTTACTGAATCTATCCAAAATCATAATTTTAGATAGTTCTCAATATAATCTTTTATATGATTTCTTGGTATCTTACAATTAATCTTAAGATTTTTTCTATCTATGTATGCTAGGGTTGCACTATTAATCTTTGTATATATATATATATATTTATATATTGATAGATTCAATGTTAAATAATTGAGCTTTTCCTCAATAATATTTTATAATGGTATCAGAGCTTATCACCTTAAACAAATCCTCTTTGTTTTTAATCCATAATAGCCGATGAGACACCTATAAACTCAAAATCATCCTCCACCAAAACCATAGTTGTGACCACTTCCCACAAACCACCTGCCACCAAAAAACACAATTATTTCATTCACTCATGACCAATTTCCACTTAAACTCACTCCAAACAATTATCTCACTTGGAAGGAGCAATTCATTTCCTTAATGACCACTTACAAGTTGCGTGACTTCCTTGAAGGTACCAAACCATGTTTGATAGTCCTTGTATGCATGGAGGAGATACTAGATACTCCTTTTGACCTTTGGGTAAGGCAAGATCAAGCCTTGTGGCATGCCTTACATGAGTTTCAAAGTCAATTGCCTTACACATTGCCTTTGCTCTTACCTCAAATTAGGCCTATGTCGCATGGGAAAAGCTGTATGCTAATAAATTGACATCTCGATATGTAATATTTTGAGATCGCCTGCATAATTTAAGTAGCAAAGGAAAAATAGTGACTGAATACCTGGATCATGTTAAATCTATCACTAATGAACTTGAAAACATGAGGCAACCGATCTTTGATGAGGAGTTTTCTGTCTATGTCTTGAATGGTCTTAAACTAGAGTTTTGAGAGTTTTGTGTCTCCATTCGTGCTCATGAAAAACCCTTACCATTCGAAGACTTTCAAGATAGGCTTTTAGCACACGAAGAAACGCTCTATGGAGAAGAAACAAAACTAGGATCAGCACCGATGATTACTCACCATGCCTCAGCTCAACCAAGGTACAATCCTTCTTATGGCAATTTTGGCTCTAACTCTAATTTTGGTACAAATCATCTTATTTTAGGCCCACAAATGCCATAACAAGCTTATTATCCCAACAACAGAAACAACAAAGGTTACTATATCTCCATAAACCAGTTCAATAACAAGAGAAGGATGGGCAATTGGAGATCTGACAATAAAAATAATAACAAAAATTCTATGGTGTGTCAACTTTGCAATCAATCATGACGCTATGTAAAGAATTGTCCTTACTATCATGTGGCAAGTAACTATCCATGGCAAATTATGCCTTCTTTAACAAATGTTCAGGCAAAAATTAGTTGATTGATTCTAGTGCCAACTCACATGTAACAAATGATGTGGTAAACCTTACACTGCATTTAGAGTATGACGGACCAGATGAGTTGTAGATTGTGATGGTTCAGGTCTTGAAATTATGCACAAAGGTAATACAAATATTCTGAATTCTTCACTACCTCTACATAATGTCCTATGTGTTCCACAAGCCTCACAAAAGCTTATCTTAGTTTCATAATTATGTAAGAACACTAATACCTTTATTGAATTCCATCCCACTTTTTGTCAGATGAAGGATCGTTATACAGAAGCGATAGTGCTTCAAGGGCCAAGCAAACATAGGATTTATCAAATTCCATCCAAAGGAAATTTTAGATCTTCACCTAGTGCAATGGTTGTAAAACGTGGCTCTACTTCAAACTGGCATTCCCACCTTGGGTGTCCATCCTCAAAGGTTTTACAAAAATTATTAATAGTTTTTATTTACCTATTTCAGATATAAATTTTCTATTTCATGTGAGTCATGTCTATGCTCCAGAGTCATAAACAACCGTTTAATAATGTTACCATTCAAAGTTATGCTCCTGTTGATATTATTTTTTCAGATGTATGGGTTTTCTACCCTTATTTCATCAATGGATGGATTCCATTACTTTTTGCTCTTCATTGATCATTTTACTCAATACATGTGGATCTAGCCCATACAAAAGAAATCTGATGTGTCAAGAATTTTTACCAAATTTAAGTGTCTTATTGAAAATTAGTTTAGTAATTGTATCAAATCTTTTTATTCAATTGGTGGGGGAGAATTTAACAGCCTTCGAATTTTTTTGTCAACAATGGTATATCTCATTTTACCTCTCCCTACACACCTAAACTTAATGGCATTAGTGAGTATTGTAATTGTCAATTATTGAAACTACTTAAACTCTATTGCAAACTACTAGTCTACCAATGCATTTTTGGTCTTATGCAATCATCACTACAATTTATCTCATAAATAAGTTACCATCTTCTGCCTTTCATCTATCTCTCCCTTTCAAAAATTGTTTCATGTCGAGCCCAACTATCTTAAGTTGCGTGTGTTTGGTTGTGCTTGTTATCTATGGACTTGACCTTATAATAACAACAAACTCCAACCACGATCTCATTGTTGCTTATTTTTGGATTACTTTATTGTAAATATTGCCTACAAATGCCTTGATCTCAAGTCAAGGAAATTATTTTACTCTAGGCATGTTGTTTTCAAAAAAGTTTCTTTCCCTTTCAATCCAATTTTGAGTTAGTCCATTTATCTAATCTAGAAGCTTAGATGTTGCCTTGTGTTTGCCCACCATTTTCTAAGACACGTTCCCTAACCACCATTAGAACAAGGCCTACGAGGCACTCTTTTACCCTAGTTGACTCCTCACCAAACTTCGTTTGTGTTCAATCTATTATACCATTAGCCCAACTCTCCAGCCCACTATTTTTCGACCCTAAGTCGGGTAGCCCACCTCCGTTATACCCTTCTCCTTTACCCCTTTCTTGTTGCTTAGATTCAACTTTTGACCTTTTTTAGTCCCCCAATTCCTTAGTTTCATTAACCACTAAATCCACTTCCCCTGTTATGCCCACTTGTTCAACACTATCATTATTTCTTGAGTCCTTCCCATCTCCTACTTCACCACCATTGGCTATTTGAACTCACCTAATGATTACTCAATCCCATAATCAAATATTTAAACCCAAATCTATTTTCCTTGAAACCAAACATCCAAGACCTGAACCCATAGAACCTACTTGTGTAACTCAAGCCCTGCAGGATTCAAAATTGAGACAAGCTATATCCAATGAGTATAATGCCTTAATTTGTTAAGGAACTTAGAAATTGGTTCTTCCCTCTCCCACTTAGAATGTTATAGGCTGCAAGTGGGTTCTCCCATTGAAAAGAAAAGTTGATGGTAGTATTGAGCACTATAAAGCATATATTGTGGCTAAGGGGTTCCATCAATAGCATGTGTGTGATTATTTTAAAACATTTAGCCCTGTGATTAAACTGACCAAAATCCACACTGTGCTCACCATTTCTATGAGTAGTTCTTG